CGTTAAAAAATCCTTTACTTAAAAAGCTTACAATCAAATTAGATGCATCAATTTTGAAGCATAAAGGATTTAAAAATATGTATATTTTTGATATCTCGCCGTGTCATTTTCCGATTTATTTGAACACGTGCGAGTGACTAACAGGTATTTATACACCGTGTTTCTGTAATATGCATTAACTTTGTCCTGTTATTCAGACCATTGAATTTGTCATTTTTCATTATGGATACATTTATGAAATTTTATTATTTTTTTATTTTCATACAAACTACATTCTTGAATGCAAATTACCTATTATAATTCTTTACCCAACTGGCAACGTCGCATTATGATTGATGTGAAACTTTGGCTCGCATAAACTTTTCAACACTTTTCTTGACTTTACAATATTTTCTAATCGAGGTCCACTGACGACGACACTGTCACGTACTTTATCGACACTCGTACAGCTGTTGTAGCATTCCCGTCACAAGTCTTGAATAAAGTGAATATGAGTAAGGTGATGAGCTGAGTGGGGTATTCGTATGGCATTATAATAATACTAATTGTAAATATAGGATTTTAAAATCCGAGAAAATCTTGATGAACGTTTACCTAATTGACAAGTCAGTTGAATAATGACATTTAAATTATAATTATCTCGGTAACCATAACAACTTTATCGCACATTTTCGAAAAATGTCGGGATCTACCTATGCACGTATCAAAGTGCAAATGAAATGCAAATAGGTAGTTTGAATGATTTGATTGCACTCGACGGCAACATAGCGCAGATAAAAATACTTTACACTGTACAACCAAATAAAATAAAATTACAAATAATTTAAAACTAAGCTTTATAATGTACTATTTCCTTTGTAAGATATATTTAGTAAAAGGTATAGAAGTATTTGCCAAAGTTACTGCCATTATATCCTCAGGAACACGGTGTATAGATATTTTTACACACATAACCTATCGAAATGTACGGGATATGTACATTGTACATACTAGTAATGGACATTAATCTCGAAATAATATTTAAACAACAAACGGAAGTCATTAAAATCAGAGAAATGTGTGAATATTAAGCTGTATGGTATTTAATTCTACGGAATTACCCTTATTCGTATCATATTTACTACGGAATTATCGCTATAAATATTGATTATATAAATTAGTACTATCACTGATTATTTTTAGCAAATAATTTGAAGTTTACGTATAATTATTATTATTTAAATTCAACGTAATTTAAAAAGATATTATTATTACAAATTTGTCGAAACTTAAATTTCAATATGTTTAAAAGATTGTCTAAAATTATTGGTTAATTAACTTTTCTAATACTATTTTTGTATTTTACAGGTTTCAGTATTTAGCTAGATGTGGGTTCATATTTTTATTAAGGTAAGATCTCCCAATCTCTGCATATTTTATTTAAAAAAAAATCAAAGTTCAACTATCATAAATGTTTGCTAAGTAAAATGAAACGAGAAAGGATATTTTGCCTTAATATTGGGCTAAAGTTTCCTGTATAATTTTATGTTTAATAAGTTTTATTTTATGCCCACAGATGGTTTAAAGCCAGCAATCATGAAGATATTGTTTGCTGTATCTGCTACATGTGAAGGTATATCTCCCCTTTTTAATACAACTTTATATCTGTGATAAGTCTCTATGTACATGATGATTTTATCGTTTTTGTCTTCTTTTCCCGACTGATGCATAATGCTGCATAAAACTTATAATCTGATTATGGAGGCTAAAGGTTTTATCATCTAACAGTAAAAGTCAACACTAAACATTTTATTGAGCTACTGAATGCATTAACAAATGTAAATTATTAAAAAAAATCTTATATTTATTTATAGATTTGATATATTTTTTTTAAGATTGCAGTATTTCTAACATTTCTTAAAATGTTATGATGATAAAGTCTTGTTTATTTTCAATATATACTAAACATAACGATATCTTATTTTACATGACTAAAACAATATTTATTTTCCGCAGGGTCTGCCGGCGCCGCGTGACTTCATAGCAGCGCCACTAAATTGTATAAACAGACCAATTGATTTCTAAATGTCCAAAGCATTTATTATTATGGTCTTATCCTTAGAAGCTTAAAAGTCATGCATTTAATTGAATGTTTATAATCTTTACATTCAGGTGAAGTTTACATACAAATTCATTTGTCTTCATGGTTTAAACAATGCTTTGAACATTGAGTACTTTGAATGGTTTTTATTCAATTTGAATAAATAAAAACAGCTTTTATATTACGGTACATATGTATATATAAATGAAAAAAGTTTGCAACAAATTGATAGAAAATTAGAAAAACAATTTCTATATATGCAGCACAATATGAGATATACATGTCGCGTATATAAATTTTAAGTGAACATTTATAATTTTTTCAAAAATTCTCAAGATTGCGTAATAAATTCGAAGATTTTGCGAATTGCAGCAACATCATTTACAATAAAATTTGGTGTTAGTAAAAGAAGGACCCAGATTAATAGATTTGTAATGATAATAATGTTGTATCTACGTGACATTAACGCAGTAACCTGTGCTCAACTGGCATGCTTTGAAGCCATTAACAAGAGAATTGTATGTATTTGGTATCTTTGACGGCGTTTCTGCTCACGTAGTACATTTATTCTCGAAATATGTAAAATGTTTTTTCATACCTGTTAGCGCGTATAAACCACAATATAAATCGTCTCTTCCACTTTAATACATTAGTATAAATTTATCAGTAATGTTAGACGAAATAGAGTTGTTTTGCAATATTTTAGCATCCTATGCAAAATAATCGCAACTTGGAAATCATCTAAAGGATAAAATGAACATAGATTGTGACGTCATTCCAAATGCGTGAATAAGGCAGTGCACAAACAGCTCAAATTTAATTTCGCTTTTAATTTTTTTATATCTAAATAGTAAGATGCCATGACTTTATAAATAATTATTAAAAAAAAAACATGCATATACCTTATTAAATTAAATCACAATGACATGTAGTTTGTAAACATGATATTAATTATTAATGTCTAATATCCTGTTGTTGCTGCGCTGTAAATAATAAATAAATCTAAATTTATTTGATTACAAATTTCTTTCCAAGTTAAATTATCCTAAAACACTTTTAAAATTATCAATTACACCTTATTGCAGATATTTAATTCGGAGGCCTAGATGTCTTTAAAAAAGGTTTGTAGCATTTTGTTTCGTTTGTTATTTTTATAAATATTTACATCATACAAAATCCTTATTCCTTTTTTTAACAAACCTTATGTACTTAAAGAATGTACATAAGGCAGAGGAATTATAATATATTTTTTACAAAGAACAAGAATATTCTAATATGAAACTAATAATTGTAAGTCATTTAACAATATATAAAAGCGAAATAGGAGTGTGCAGAATAACACAATCGAAGCAATAAGAATTTGTTTGATGGAAATATTTTAAGAGAATATTGTCTTTTTTATTATTAACATGATGATTTTAACGTATTTGTCTTCTTTTCCCGACTGATGCATAATGCTGTATAACAATTTATTCTGAAGTTTATTTTAAAATAATCAATAATGGACTTCCTTTATAATATCATTATAGCAATATTTTTATTTCTTTTCAGATCAACAGTGAAAGTGCGTGATAATTTTTAAACAGATATTTTTATAAAATATAGTTCCTATGGATGTAAACGCGTGTTGTTAAAGTATTTAAGTTCTTTTTATTGTTTTATTTTTATTTAGTAGTATCAGTTGTATATCAACCATACGTTATGTTGTTTCCACATACCTGTGTATTGCTACTACTTACTATGGTTTTTGTTATCTTTTAAATATAAAAACAATATAAAACAATATTATTTTTTATTATCGTATATCTCATCTCTCATTCATGGACCTTTTATTTATTTTACTATAGTAACATACTTATGTACCTACACACATAAACTTTTCCTTTTTCTACAGTAAAAATCGACGTTATTTTTCGTCAACTTTGCACTAAATTTCCGATCCATTTTTTATAAGGTTTAAAGTCACTTACTGAGTATAATAAACAAAACGCTGACAGATGCCGGTGGCGCTTTAGGCGCCATCTTGAAAAAACGTTTTTGGCCGATATCTGGGAATCTATGCACTTTAGGGCAATTAAAGTTATCGAAACTATTTTAGTAGAGAATAAAATTTCGCATCTTTTGTTTCCTGTATTTTTTTGTAAAGGTTATCGTTTACGATTTATGGCCCATTTAATGAACCGGTTCTTCTATCTCGGCCGATAACTTTTAAAATATTCGTTTAATCAATAAAATGCATCTATCCATTTTTAAGGATCCATTTATTCTCTACAACTTTTGTTTAAAACTTTTTTTTCTAATGTGCATGCCTTTTGAGCTATAGGAAGAACCGCCAACTTCCCAACTCCGGGCTATTTACTGAGGCTTACTATAGAAAGACTCGGTAACTAAACTTGGCCCGACCCGGGACTCGAACCCAGGGCCTCCGGGTGTACAGCTGAACATGCTAGCCACTACACCACCGAGGCAGTTTGCATAAATTGTATATCACGGTTAAAAATAGTTAAAATCACTAAAAAAATATATGAATGCAGGATGAATTTTACAATATTTAGCGTACGTTTATTTGCATATATTTAAAAATTAAACAGTTTAATTATTTGCGAATCAACGACATCTATTATCTATTCAAGCAAACAAAAATAACCCGAAGAATTGCCCGAATTAGGGCAGTCCAATTTCTTTGTATGGGATGAGGCATCTGTACTAATATCGTGATCTGTGGTTGTACGTTACGCCGTACGCGATAAGCCCGTCATGGTGGAAGTGGATCCTTTTTAAATTTTTATAATTCTGTTTTGTCTAAGTACAAGTAATAGATGGGTGTAAAATTTAAAAAAAGTCGATTTTTTTGTTTCAAATTTATTTATTCGTTCATAATATCTGATAGTTAAAATAATATCCTGTAGTTAAAACATTATGCGTATTTTGATTCATTTCGAGTATAAAGATAATAATTTCCTTTACTGTCGGCGCTGGCTGAATAGCCCATGAATGAAGGATTCTCTGTACATTCGCCGTTCTCAAATTTTTTCCAATTCTCACAAGGATAAGCTATGAAACCGTCATCGAATTTATATTCAATCGACTCTTCAAAATATTCATGTGACCTACCGTGGCTGCAGGAATCTGCAATTAAACTACATTGATTAGGAAACCAAGTACCTACAAATTGTAAAGTTTAAATAATTTTGTAACTTCCAATATTTGTGTATGTAGGTGCATTTTCATTTATTGTCTTTCCTTTTCTTCTGGATTTTGATTTCAGTCCAAAATAGTATTGAAATTATAATATGGGCTTTTTAAACGTGAAGTTATGTAATATGTATCTATATTTACAGAGATGCAAGTGTTCAATGATAGACTTAAATTTTATCTTCTGTACTATACTACTACAATTTTTAATAGACAAAATTTAACATTTCTTTTCTATAGGTACATACTTTTTAACATTGAAAACATTTTAGGCAAATAAAAATAACCTATTATTATTTATTTATTTTGGGTGTGGTGCCGAGGTCGGCCCTAGCTACGTCGACCAGTTATGGTCCATTGTAGCTTGAAATAAAATAACCTAACTAGAAAGGGGAAGGGAAGCCAAGCTAAACTTATTCGATAGAACTTTAATAGTGACCTACATAAGTGACTAGGCATTCACAATTTTAGGCTAGCAGATCTTGATCTATTTTTGCTAAATATAGTATGCTTACGGCATACTAGCAACATACTATAAGTTGGTACCTACTTGCCTACTAAAAGAAATATAATCAAAATGTATTTGAAAAGGATTTTCACAAAAATGTTTTCTACTTTCGAGAACCCTTCAATCTCCACAATAAAAAGTAGATACACTATATAATTATTATCTAATGAATTAGTAATTATCATGCCATTTTGTGTCAAAATAAAAGAAATCTATAGTGGGTATTAATTAAGGAAACTTACAAGAATTTTAGGAACTATGTATGTACAGAAAATAAAATAAAATCATAGTAAGGAGCTTAACTATAAAAGGACAACTATAACATCTTTATAAATTATCATAATTCATAGGAAATGTTGTTCTTAAAACATACCTATAAAACGTATTCCTTTTTTAACAGGTCAATTTTCGTTTATGTTAAAGTACCTGGGCCACCGACCTTGCTCGGAGTTTTTGGTCCAAAGTACAATTTTCTTTTTTTTTTAAACTAAAAACTTGAATAAATATTTAAAAAAAAGTAAAAACTTTAGAACCTGGACACCTGTGATTGTTGATCTTGCACCTTGGCTGCTTGATCACGATGCTTATGCCCGAGCGTGCAATTATCGACCATATTTTGCGTGGAATAATGCAAAAGAAAACTGCATGAAAACTCGAAAGCACGCGTTTTCTGAGACATAAGACTAATCTAGATCGATTTATCGCCCTCGAAACCCCCTGAAAATCGTTGGAGCCGTTTCCGAGATTCAGAGATTATATATATAATCTGAATCTTATAATCTTATCTTAACGAGCAATTATATATATGTCGTGTTATCCATATACTACGAACATCATCTTAGGTGGTTACTCATCTTGTGGGCGTTATCAGGGCTCAAATAATAAAGTATTCAGTGCTCAATACACAATTTAATCAGGGAAGTCACAATGTTATAAACTTGAAACGGTAATTCTAATGATTTAGAGCTAGCGGGTTCACAGTCACCGATCATCGACTTCCAACTACAGTATCAAACATAACTGATCCACCATGATATGATAACCAACGTTACTAAGCCACGTATCTCCAAAGAATGTCGTGATGGCGTCTCGACCCCGCTCGAGACTAAATCTCTGCTCTAAATTCAAAATCTATTTAGAAGCAATAAAAAGTAAATTAAAGAACATAGTGACTTTAAACAATAATAAGGTTTAATAACAGAAAAAGGTAACTAAATCCTCCTCCGTCTTATATATATATATATATATATATATATATATATATATATATATACAAGAATTGCTCGTTTAAAGATATAAGATATGTATGTAGGTACATATATATATGCATAATATGTCAATTTGATTACCTACTAATATGGGAAATTGCTAATCTCATATAGCTAGTAGCGACACTGCAGTAAATTCGCTTACCGGCTACTTGGCGAGCGCCGCTACATCCAGGTTGCATTGGTTGGCCGTTGTTAGGATAGAAATCTGCATGGCCGTAACTATTCCTGTAACCGTACACTCCACCACAAGTGTGAATTATATCTACAAAATTGGCATCGCTGCTATCAAGACAAAAATCTAGTGGCATTTTTGGTACTTCAAAGAGTGGACGTGCTGGATCCAATCCTACAGAAGGAAGGAATAGTCGTTAATACATACCTATGCATACAATATACAATGCTTCTACTATCATAGATATATGCAGATATAGGTACGCCGATTTGAAATTGATAAAAATATTTAAATTTTCAAAATAATTTATTTATAAGTGATGATGATTCAATATTGTTTAGCGTATATTTACTCTAGGTCTACTATAGCCTAATTCTAGCCCGAAGTTTTACGAAGGAATTTTTTAAACTTACCTGTGACACGATATACTTTCTCGTTTGAAAACATACCAGCGTAACCCATAACCTGTGCTCCCAAACTGTGCCCTATTAAATGAATACGATGACCTGAGACGTTATAAGTCGCTGCTACAGCTTCGAGGAGTTTTGATACACGTTTTCCAACATAGCGAGTGCTAAAGGCCGCGTAAGGGTAAATTATATTTTTTGACAGTTCACTCCAGTCGACCGTAATTACGTTTAAATCATATTCTCTTAAAAGGGAGTTCTTAGTTTTCTGTATCCAACCTACGCTTTCAGCAGAAAGCCACCCATGCGTCAACACTCTTATATCATTTAGCTTATTAAAATTAACACTTTGAAAATGATCATCATCCTTAGGAACCACAACCTGTTCAGGTTCATTAGAATTGTTTCTGAAATTAATTTAGATATTAGCCAGTTTTAATAACTTTGCATATTAAAATAAATAAGGAGATTTTATAATATTATCACTCCAATTACCATTATTGATATACATAGGTATATTATATCTACATGTAACATGATCCCACATTCCTGAATTCTTATTTGAAGTCTTTGATCGACTTTAAAAAAATAGGACTCGATTCGACTCGAGGTCGTTTTAGGTGCTTATTTACAAACCGATTTTCATATTTTTTTAACTAGAGCGACTCACTCTCGCTTCGCTCAAGTTCGTCCCTATCCCTATTATATATAGTTTTACAATAATGTATGGAAGTCGTGCCCGATTTGTTGACATTTGTGATTACTGGCTACTGTTCCGCTCCCTTGCATATCAGCATGATGATATATAGCCTTAGCGCGTTCAAACAAACAAACAAACTGCCTCTTTACAATATTAGTATAGATAATTAGGATACCGCAAGGGTAGTTAAAAAATATTCTACCTCTGAGGATAGTTTTCAATTTTTAAGTTTTAATGTGACTGATATCGGTGTGTGTACCTTTCTTAAAACGTAATAATTACTTACTGTAACCAAATGCTCTTAGATCAAAGAGCTTTTTTACCTGGTATATAAATAAAAATATGCATCACCAAACAACATGTCATGGGTGTCACGAGGAATCGAAGAAAAATTCATAATATGATTTGTGCCATAGTCGTCTATGAAATACAACCAGTCGGTGCCATAATCTGGACCATATTCCATTGAGACACATGTCATAAATGTTAAATCTAAAACATTGTCAGAAGAATACTAAATTAAAACTAAGTATTTGCAGTAGGAAATTGTTATTTAGAAACGTCAAGATAATATTCTATTCAAACTACCTAAGGTAAACAAAATACGCGAAACTAATTTCAGGTAGGAAATCATTTGTTTAGCTTTCACTGTTAGCCGTAGTATTCATAAATAACAGTAGGCATGAATTTAGTTTTTTTTTAACTTTGTTCATATCGTATAATGACTTCCTTTGACAGGTAAATGCTTTATGTTTTAACTGGTATGGCATTGACAGATAGAAGAATATTTTACATTGATAAATAAATTCTTGGTATTCAAAATATCTTCGATGTTCGCCCTATATTGCCTCTCCATCATTCCTCTCCATCGTATATGTATTTAACCACACTTTCATCGCTCATTTTTTAAAATTCACAAACCAACTGAGCATATTATTCATTATTGTGTATCTCTTCTCTATGGGATTCTATCAGATAAACTGACTCCGTGCAGCTTTCCAAGAGATACCTAGCATTTTTATTGCACTTATTTTACTATTACCTATACCTATTACTTACTATTGCCATATATGAACACTGCATTAAGTAGTGCCTAGTCAGTCAGTATGTATGTACCCTGTTGAAAATGTCCAATAAAAACTTATACAGAACGATAAGGATTTATTTGTAATTGGCTTAACTGAGCGAAAAACATCCAAATAGACGCGAGGTTGGAATAATAAGAATGTAAATGCAAATCCAATTCTAACATTTTCCAATCAGTATTAATAGAATTGAAATGTTCTTGGGAAATGCATGGATTTAATATGGACTTTATATATAGGCTTGTAATGTTAGATGGAACTGCATCAATTTCAAAAGTTTATACGTTATTTCTATTAGAAAATCTGATAGGTTCGTACTTGAATATCTAAACTCCGAAAAGCTACTGTTTCTTATTGGTTATGATCAAAACAAATCATGTCGGAATTTATCAGGACCTTCCAGTAAATAATGTGTCACCATCGTATTAAAAATCACCTATTACGGATAATTTTTTTTGAGAGATTCTAATAGGATCGCCGATGATTATATATGCATGAGATTTTAACACCTCCAGGTAAATTTCTAAGAAATTAATTAAAATTCTAAGAAATCTGTTGTTAACTGACACGCCGGCGTGTCCACGGTCGTGGAGGGATCAAAAAAATTAATTTGGAATTCCTGCGTCAAAAGCACAATAGAAAATGAAGATCATTCAGTCGATCGAAATATGAAATCGATTATGAGTTATGACATTTATAAGAATAGATATGCCTGTATATGGGAGTTGCAATTTAATAGAATTTAACCGGTATTACTTATATTATGATAAAATTAGTGCTCTAAACGGATACTCATATAATGTAGGCATTCATTTACTCATAACAAGAGTTTTTGCTCAGATTTTCTCTTGACAGAACTCTAAATCAATCGTTAATATTAAAAATATTTTATGGAGATTTTTCATACGTTTAATGAAAAAAGTCTCTTTAAAATAATTGAATTTCAACATAATCAGCCTATTATTTATTTATTAAAACGTAAAAAAGACCCTCTGCAAAATAATTCAATTACAGAATAGATTGTCTTCTCGTTACAAATATTTTGTCAATTTAAATAAGATATAGATAGATAATATAAGATTTATTTATAGACGTTGTGTTGATTTCTCGGTTGATTCAAATAATGCAAGTTACGATCATTTTGAAGCAACACGAGCCTCTTTAAAAAATAACCTCAATTTTTCTTTGTTCAAACAAGAGGTTATAAGAAATCCATCCGAATTTTAATTACATTGGCTTATTTTCAAGATTTCTTGGTGCATGTTTTTAAAGTAAGGACTATTCTGTATTTTAATATCATTCTTATTAAGAATTCACACATTATAACTCGGATGATTGTTTTGAAAATTGCGCGGTGAGCTGCGGAAATACAACGAATGAGCCGCGAATGATATAAAGTTTACAATTATATTGTAACTAACAATTAATATAAATAAATCAAGAAATGGTTTTGTGTGATTACATATTTATTCATAAAATAGTGTTTTAAATTTAGTGTAAATATCTATATATCGTGGTATTGTCAGAAATCATTATAAATTATAATACAACAACTAGTATATTATACCTACTACTAGCACTGATATATTGTCAGCTTATTTATAATTCATCAATAGTTTCAAGTGTATTTTATATTGTCATTAATGCTCATATTATTTAAAAACCCAAAACACACACACATTTTAGATCGGTGCTATGTAATTTGAATTATGAGTATTTTTTTATGTCATGGTTGTGTCGGGGAAAAATGACGCGCGGGCGCGGTGTTTAACGGGTTAAAAAGCGCGGGGTTCAAGTGGTTAATGATGAAATTCTTGTGACAAAACAATGAATGGTTAAATAATAACATTAGGGTATAATTAGGATTAAAAAAAAGATAATTAATATTTAGTTTAAACTTTCATTTTTACACATGGGATAAAATTAAAGATTATTTAGGTGCAAGCAATACGTCGCTGTAGAATGAATACCTCGTATGTCAAAAAAGCTAATTTTTTTTGTAAAAATCAAATGAAAAGCACGTATCCTAGTTAAGTAATGGATTGGTTAATAACATAATTAATTCCTTTTTATCATTAAAAATGTGAGACAAAAGCACATAACAATATTTTAAACATTGAGGAAATGAACCATTTTTTTCCGTTTCCTGTAAAATTTGGATCTCTGGACATACGAGGTTATCTTTCTACAGCGACGAATAGAGTTTTTGTGAGATTAATAAACGTGGTGTAGAAAATAACAGGGAAGTAAATGATTTCAGGCATACTATTTTTAAGTTTTAAATATTTTATTATAATTATATTTTGATTTTATTAATTAGTAGTTGTAAGTGTTATAATATAAAGTAAATTTTACATAATGCGTAACGGAATTCGAAACCAAACAGTGGAATAACGGGAATAATTTGCTATTTTGGAAATCTGCCCTGCTCCTATTATTATTATTAAATTTAAATTTATAACCTATAACATTTGTGCAATTTATAACCTAGGATCTAAAATATTTTTATGAGATCAATATTGACCATGGCTTTTCAATTGTTTTCCAAAAATATATATGATTTCCCCAGGACACATTTCCAAAATAATCAAACATGAAGGTTAGAAATTAGTAAGATCTGTGACATTTAAAACCCTACGTCTAGATTTTAGGATTTTCTATGAATTTTACAATAAAAATGTACACTTTTAATTTTATACAGAATATGTTAAAACAAATACATATTATAGTCTCATTGAGTTTTAACATAAGAAAATAGTTAAAAATTGAAGTTTTGAAGAAGTTCATCTCAGGACAGTCATTTTTCCAATTGCTGGACTAGTTTAAGAAAAGTAATGAGTATTTGAACAGAATACTATATCATTTTTTGGCTACATAAATTTTTGTGCTGTCTCTATTATACCAGTACATGATTATTATACTTTGAAGTTAATACTACGACTACAGTATTTAACATTGTTCGAAGTTTATGTACACATAAATTATGCATTCTTTATAACTTCTTCAGTACTACGTCTTTTCTTGGATTTTGTTCTTGGCTCATTTGATATATTCAATGGTTTCTGTGAGTAATAAGAAATAATCTTATCTGCCTTTTTTTTATATTCTGAAAGTTTACGTCGTAAACATTTTCTTTCTTCTTTCACAATTTTTATTTTTTCTTGAATTTTGGCAACTTCGTGACGTAGTGCAGCAGTTTCCTAAAACATTACAATATAATAGATTCCATACAGTTCATTAATGAATCAAACTGCGATACAGTATAAACTATCTTACTATTAATAAACTTTTGATTAGTATACAGTAACATTTTTTTTGATTTTTATTTTGTATAATACACATTTGAAGAGCAGTTAAAAACTTTATTTACACACTGTTTATTATAACTTAATGGCTGTGGCAATCAAAGAGAATGTAACCACTACGTTTTACGTGGTAGCAATTGGCAAACATAGATCAATACTTTATTATTGAATAATAAAATCAATAGCAAACACAGTCCTGAGAACAGTGTTGCCAGAAAACCACATTCCGATTTCCGAGCCACAGAGTCACGGTAATGTCAAATGGACAACGAAAACAATAAAGAAATAAAGGTCATTCCACAGTACCATCTATTTTGCTATACACACTGAATACATAAGACAACCAAATTATACCCTTTTTTAAACCACCTTCAACATTTTGAACGTGTACTGTGTAATCTGTTTTTGGTAGAATACTTTTACTTAAAGCAAAAATATTAAAATAGTTACCTACCTTTGATTTTTGCAAGTGCTTTTTGGTTAATTCATAATTCTTTAAGTCTCCGTAATGATTTCTTTAAATTGAACCACATAATTTGCATTTAGCTACTGGAACTGTTTGTTCTCCACTACTTGTAACCAGCCATTTAATTCTGGGTCACGTAACCAATAATCACGAAACTTTGGATACCGTGGTTTGGGCATATTAATTGACCAGAATTAATAATTAAAATAAGACAATCCAGAATCTTTTACCGATACCGACTGTAACTCACAGAACACTACTACTCTGACGAGAAGAATGACAACACAGAACACTACTACTCTGAACTGTACTGTCTTATAGAATAGTGAATAAAACGTAAACAAACCTTTTGAGTTAAATCATATTAGACCCAGTAGTCATACAAAAAAGTCCATAATCACTATCATTCTTGAAATTGTCAATTTTCAGGGAATCCCTAATAATAAATCATGTTATTTCTATTGTGTTGTCCACACAACAAAAAAATATACACTTGTTTAAAATACTCATTCATAACTAGAGTATTCATATAAAACGTACTAGTGATTGAATATCCGCTGAAAGGCAAGTCTAAATTACCTACTGAAAATCCACTGAGTTGGCAACACTACCTCAGAAATTCCGAACCATGGATTACTACGTATAGCAACTACTCACATCCCTGCGGCAGGGGCAATCTAGGAAGCACGGCGGTCGGGACAATATCGGAGCTGTCTCTACACACATGACACATGCCTATTATTCAGTGTTCAGGTAGAAGTTAAGCTAAACGCACGCGTTAAGAATGGTCCCAGTATTATCGAAAAATTAAAAGACAGTGCTGCCAACACTTGAAATTTTATCCCCCTAATACAAAACAAAAAAACAAAAAAAAACACACACTTTAATAATTCTGCCATTATATTTTTTAGAATACTATAAATATTTTTTTTTATTTCAACACCTTGTAAATAAAATGACAGATGCACTGAATCAAGTAGCACTGAATAGAGTAGCCTAGAGACGTCAATAAGTATAAGAAAGATATCCATAAATAGATATCTCTCTCACACTCAAGCGTACAAATAATGACCTCGCGCTTATACACATAGCGACACTTTATGTGTGTCTGGGGGGATGTTTGACCCCTCCAATTGGTCTGGCTGCTGACCAGGGGTGTTCAAATAGTTCCCCAAGTATCATACATAAAAATCAAGAGTGAGATTATAAGTAAGAATATGTTTTTTTTTTGAAGCTTTAAAGCGTCTGGTAAGGGTAAGCGCCGATGGAAAGTGTCTGGCAATAATGATTATTAATTTTTAACAACAATATCTAAAACATATGTAAAAATCAGCACTGAGAATTTAAGAAAAATCAGTACTGTATTTATCTACCTTTAGCACCTGGTACCTATGAATTGGCCGTCGACCCAAGGTAGCAGGTATGCACACACTCAATGTACGTACTAACACTACTTTATCCCATTTATATTTCTTATGAGAAAATAAGTAACGTCTGGGGGCACCGGGATCTTACTCTATAAGAGTAATTCCAAAAAATCCTAAAACCCCCTAACTGATAATTTGAAAAATGTAGGTTTTTATGTAATACTCATTTTATTCATTTTTTATTTTAAATGATTAAAAGTAGTCTAAAAAACTTATTTATTTTTATTATTATAATAATTATATATAACCATTTAAATAATAATAATAATAAATTTCATAGATAACTTAGAAACTAATAATTAAAAGAAAAGGATAAATGATGTAAATGATATTTAAAGATATATGATTTTTTCTTTCAAAGAAACTTTATAAAACGTTATTTATATATAAGTCATGCCATTAAAGAAAAAACCCCGGTGCATTTTTTTTACCCCTCAATTTGGAGGAAAACCCCTAAGTGGCAGCACTGTAAAAAGATCGGTAGGGAAATTAGCCCAATCGCGCTACACACGCGACAATATACAATGCTTGACTATACACCTCACAATTTAGGTGGCAATTGAGGGTCATCCCTACTTTTACATCCTAGATTGTACCCGGGACTCGAACCCAGGACCTCCGGGTGTGCAGCCGTACATGCTAGCCATTACACCACCAAGGCAGTTCGTTATATTATATAAGTATATTATATATAAGTGATACGTAATCGATATTTGCAGTACCTACCGAATGACGTCGTGAACATTTTGCTCCATTTCAATAGATACGACTACTGAACAGAATATTGTATTAGAGGTTTTGGGAAAATTAATGTTGAGTTATTTTTTTCACTGAATACGTGAGTGAGTGAAACATCATAGTACCCCATTAGGGTCTATTGTCTATTGTCTTTATTATTATTGTCAAGTGTTTGCTGCCGGAGTATTATATTTTTAATACCTGATTCCAGGGAAGGTATACAAGTTAATTTGTATTAGTAGAGGGTTCATAAATAAGACACAAATTAAATCATAGCAACTTTATTGTATTTTTATTTTTTGAATTGAAGTGTGCTTACACAGTAAACACTGATCTCAACACTTACAACTAAAAATATTCTAAAAACAAAATTAAAAGATATCAAGTTAAAAAACTGTGGCTTGTGCAAATGGTTCGTTTCCACCGAGGCGACCTATACTTATTTATATAGGTATTGGCTTCGCTGGAGTAACTTTTAAAAGTGCTAGAGGTATATTACCTTGAATTTTGAAAAGAAATTGTCACTTATTGTGCTGAGATTGTGCATTATGCCTTAAGTTTTTAACATGGGGTGCCCCTGTTTTACCACATCATATTTTGCCAATGTGCACATAAATTACTGTCATACATTTTTATACAAACTGATATATACGATAAAAGTTATTATATTATTCTAATATATTGCTATCTTTTTCATTTTAGTCTATAGAAATTGTCTACTGACTTCGTGCTTTATATATAATTGTTAAAATTTTGAAATACAGTCAAATAAAGGATTAAAGTGAAATTATTTGAAACGAAACACTTCTCTAAAACCAACAGTGAACAGTTTTTCAACCGTGTAATAAATTGATTTCATTAATTGATTACTACAATATTTTATTATATTAAGATCGGGAAGGTTAATTCATAATGGAGACTAGATATCACATGGTTTGAGCTATATCGATTCTTACTTTTGTTTCGTATTTTCGTATCTACAAATACATTCAAAGTGAAATTGCTATCAATAGCGCGGGGAATATGTATTGCAATCAAATAAAATATAATCCAAAAACCACTTGTAATAGATACAACTTATTGTCACAAATATAAAACAATATCAACTGTAACATTAACCAGATGTAAAATAACAATAAAATAGAATAAAATTATAAAAGTAATTACATGAAACTATTACGGTAATATCGGCATTCGGACCTCGAGTTGCCTAAATGATCTCGATTCAAAGTAAGGTTAGCGGCGGCCCTCTCCGCAGGGGCCAGGGCGCCTCGTGACTCGTGACTTGTCCAGTCGAAATCATTGAGCATACAATACCTTGAAATATCAATAGAAATGAACAATGGGATAATTTATTGCACAAGTAGTTGATTCTAACCATCTAAATGTAACGCTAGGCGGGTTTACCTAGAAAACATGCACGCCGAAAACAATCGAAACGAGTTAGTTTACCTACTGAAGTGACGTTTTATCGCAGCTTAATCTATCGACCGGCAGTGACCTGAGTGATGTCTCGCGCACTCGCACTCCGCACGAACATACACTACACCTTATTATACTACCTATCTATTTGTTATGAGTTATTTATTTACTTTCAATTTCTTTAAAGCGTACATTTTATACTTATACTTTAGGAGGTTCTTAACGATATTGAAAATTTCGAAACATTTCCCCAAAAAAAGATATACAAAATTGTGTAAAACTCATGCATGCAAGGAATATCAAACGTTTAGTTATTTTGTAAATAATTCTAATTAAACTAATGACAGTCTTCGCAGTGACTGAACAATAAATAATATTTTAGGTTTTCAGGTGGGATCGCTTAAGAAACCGAGTGGGCGTGCTACTTAGATATTGAGTAAAATATGCTTTCGCGTCTTGTTCTAATTCAACGATGAATACAAAAAGATACCGCTTTAAGGAAAGTCCAGGATATTACCGGCAAACTTATTGATTATCGATATTGGATTGGTCAGAATATGCGTAATTTGATTGAGCACCTTTTATAGCGTTTGTGCCACTTGGTTACGTTCAGTGTATAATTAGTGTAAGAAGTCGTTTTTATAATAACTCTAAATAAAATTATACTAGTGCCTCACAATTACTGGCTTAGTTCATTAGAACCTCGTTCACGTAATACCTAAATAAATAAGTGTATAATATAATATCTAATATGTTTTTACATATGTACAGTAAAAATAAACAAAGGAGGTACATAACGAATAAAAATATAAATTTGTACTTGAAAAAAATATCGTCTCATAACATAAAACAGTCAATAACGGTCCTTGCTCGATCTATATATAATACTAAGTCTAACTAAGATTATTTGTGTTGTATATAATATGAGGCACGCATGGGACGCGGCCGACGCCCTGACGCCCTCGCGCGCGTGAACGGCGCCCAATGCGCGGGTCTCACTAACTTTTAATTGTACGTAATTAGTTAATAATAACTACAATATAATATTGGTATGAGCGGTTTTGTGGATGCTTCCCCGCTCATACCTAAAGCGTTTAGGTGCACGTCAGCTCGCACTGCCTGCCTGCCTCGGCGTGTCATGTAGGCACGTACCTCGCGCTCTCGGTGAACGAATCAAACGATCGGTGACGACTCGCGACTTCTCAATATGATCGCTTAAAATTGCAAGCAGCAATTTTATATCACAATGAAACAGTTCCGATTTAAATGAAAACGTTACACAATTACATCGAATCGTTAATTGACATTATTTTGTTTTTGGAAAGCAGCCAGTGCGAATGCAAAACGCCACTGCATCCACATATACACGTATGTACATTAAATTGCTATTCCAGTCGAACAGTATTTTGACTGAAATAGAGTCTTAATTTAAATACAATATAGTAGATAGCCCCAGCGAGACTGGCGACCGAGGTGGGATATTTAACACTATGATAAAAGTGAACTAAAACGAGTTCTGTTTCAGAAACGAGGCAACGATGGCCGCAGCTTCTTAAATTATATAACTTATATCAAAGTCCGTTTATGACTACTTAAATAAATAGACAGATAATAATTACAATCGTACATACAACCTACGCGTCATTAGTCTTTCATTAAATTGACTTATAAAATTAATGTAGGGAAGTAAGTGTAATTTTACGTGAAAAACTATAGAAACATACAATAATGAATGAGTCACCTCGACAATCGACGCGTCCATCGTTGACTCGCATTAAATGAGACTTTACAATCGGTACGTTGGAGGCCAACGCACGTACAAGACTCAGAGTCGGGACGACACCGAGCCGCGGCGGGAGCGCCCGCTCCGCTCAGCAAACGGTCTCGGCGGCCGCCGGCGGCGACAGCGGCTCCGGCGAGCGGCGGCGCAGCGCCTGGCGCTTACGGAACTCCAAGAATTCCTCCTTCATAGCGCGCACCCGCGCCTCCACGTCCACTCGCGCCGCGCCGCCCGCCCTCGTGCGCTCCGGCGTGGACGGCGTGGGCGTGCGCGTGGCGCGGTCCCACTCGTAGTGCACGTCCACGGAGCCCGCGTCGGCCGCCTCGCCCGTGCCGCCCGGCCCCGCGCCAGACGGCGGGCGCGGCGGCGGCGGCGGCGGCCGGTAGGGCGGCGGCCGCCACTCCGCTAGGCTGCCCGTGCGGCTGCTGCGGTTGTGCTGCGAGGAGGCGTTCTTGCTGCCGAATCCGCTGGAGGAGGAGCGGCTCTCGGGCGAGGCCTCGTGAGGCGGCGGCGCGAGCACGTCGGGGGGCGGCCGCGGCCGGGCGTGGCGCGGCGCGGGACGGGAGCGCGGGCGCGCCGGCCCGCACAACCGCGAGGGCTCCAGAATGACCGTCTGCCGCGAGCGAAACGAGGGCGGCGTCGGGAACGAGCCGTCGGCAGAGCTCGGGAAGGGCACGGAGCTGAGGTCGGAGATGTGCAGCGGCGACCAGGGCGTCCAGGCGGGCGCCCACACGGGCCACGTCGGCCAGGGCGGCCAGGGCGGCCAGTGCAGCGCCAGCGCAGGCGAGGAGGCGCGGAACAGAGGCGGCGCGGCGGGCGGGCGCAGGGGCGCGCGCACCCGCGGCAGGAACCCGCCGTCGTCGGAGGAGGAGGGCGCGGGGGAGGGCGCGGAGGAGGGCGCGGGGGAGGGGGTGGTGGAGGGAGCAGCCGACACGCGCCGCACGCCGCCCCAGTTGCGCGCCTCGTCGCCGCACCGCGACGCCGGCCAGATCCAGTTAGCCGTGAATCGTAAACATTGGACTATACTCGATATTCCGCTTTCTCTAAATCTGAAAAATAAAATATTTATACGTGTATGAATAATTTCAGTAAATAAACTATGAAATTAAAATGATATCGTCTCTACTAACCTGACTTCCTAGTTTTAGCAGCGTGAAAATATCGTCAATATTAACATCCGATAACGGTTCAAAGCGAAATACTTATAATATTATAATGTAGGTAGGTTTATGTACATAAATAATGTATCAAAAACATTGGATTAATAATTCTTATCTAAAAGTAATATTAGACTAAAGGGAACTTACTTTTTAAAAGGCACTTGAGTGCTGTCTGCGGCGCGGAGGTCGGTGAGTCGCGCGGCTACCATGTTGTATGCTGCAACCGAATAATTTCTGAACATTAACGCAGTGCAGGGAGCTGTCCCCGCGCTGCGCCGCCGCCGCCGCCGCCCGCACCCTCACCCCTTCACCCTTGCACCCTCACCCCTTCACCCTTGCACCTTTGCAACCCCCAAACAGTACCACACCATATTGTCAACATAAAAGCGAATATCACCGGAAATGACTGACACCAAATTAGACACAGCCTTCTTTGAACAAAGGCCATTAAGAGATATTTTTTTATCTTTTATGAGATTGAATTATAATAATAGTAGAATAGAAATGAAGTCTTTTCCAGTGAGTACGATATTAATGATTTATAAAAAAAATAATTTTAAGCATTTTAATATTATTAAATACATTATATTTATATTTTATATTTTTTTATTGTTATTATAAATTATTTTAAATTTATGAATAATAAAAAATAAGGAAAAGAATTTGTAAAAATTGAACTGAAGTCAATCTGATAAGAAAAAACAAAATACATAAGTGTTTAAAATTATACATATACCTAGGTACTTACAAATTACGTAAAGTATATGTATTAGTAGCTTCATTTAGGATTAAAAAAAGCACACGTGTGACGTGACATTTCAAACAATGTGCAACAAAACATTACAGCAATAATATTGTATATTATTATTTAAATATAGACTATAAAATATAGGTACTATGCAAAACGTTATGGATATAATAAAAAAATTAAGCAAACATAAAATATGATAAGCGATGAAATAATACAGATTTAAGTTGGTACTTTCTTCAATATGATTTAATACTTAACTGAAACAGTATTACAAAACTATTAGATTTTTTTTATATTCATACAGACCCAAGAGAAAAAACAGATAAAACTCGTTTTTGAAATGGTCCAGTTAAAATTAGTAGGTATTAACGTCGCCTAATCTATACATATAATAAAATTCTAACTCAAATCTGTACATTAAATATTTTTTGGAAAATCTTATTGAAATAGACATTATTATCGATACAGAGGTCGAATCTATAGTTGTTAGAATTTTTGTCTGTCTGTCTTTCTGTCTTTTAACGCATCACAGAAAAACTACTGGACGGCTTTTGATGAAATTTGGTATGGTCATAGCTGGTTATCCGGGTCAACTAATATTCTAATACGAGTATACTAATATGTATAACCTAAGAATTTGGTTTTGGTCATATGAACGCGGGCGGAGCCGCGGGCAATGCTAGTAATTACTATAAGACACGCTGTGTTAGTGTTAGTACACTATAGTGTCAAGTGCATTTTACTTTTACTAAGTGTAAATATTTTAACTAACAAAAATACATGCAATTACAATCAACCTTAAAATGATTGATAACAATAAAAAAGTGCAATGATCTTAGACGAATGCTATAAACAAACCTAATATCGTCGACGGTGCTTGCTTCGTTATCGACAATATGGTAATTAGCTTACATTTTGAAAAATCTCCATTCTATAATCTATATCGCAAAATTGACGCTATCACGCTAATCAAAGCTGTCGCAGCCCGCGGGCCTGTCGCGCGCGGCGGGCGGCGGCTGACGCGGCTCACCCTACGCCTCACCTTTCTCCTGCTTGCGACGTTTCCTCTTATTGCATATCTTAACAGCACACACGGATAGGATGATGGCCACTAAGAAGAACAGTATCCCGCCCACGATGCCCGCCGTGATGGCTTTGTGCTTCACCCTCGCCGGCACCGGGAACTTCACCTCCTCAGAGCTCTCGAAGCTGGTGGCCGAGTTGCCCAGCACGCGGAAGTAGTACGTCCGTCCACCCACTAAGTTTTTCACTATATGGAGTTAAAAGTGATGTTTTAAGTATTAATACCGTTAGTCACGAGTGATTAGACAGGTAATGGCTGTTACGAATCTAGTTTAACTGGTTGGAGTTTATTACGTAAACTGACATATTTTTAGTTTATTAATTTTAATATGATTTATAATGTAAATAGTCCCAGTACTATTTTATTACTATTAGATTTCTAATGATTGAGAAATGCGACTTTAAAACAATTACTATTATATTAAAGCGAAAATTTGTCTCTATAAATTAAAGTTAGAATTAAAGGGCTGGATGGATTTGTATGAAATTTAGCTCACAGATTACTATCACCTGAAGTAGCCTTTAAGATTACTATTGGGATGAATCGGAGCAAAGCGAGGGTACGTCGCAGGTACTTAATAATTATATTTTAAATGTTAAAAAATATAATCAATTATTATTTTAAAGTAAAGTACGTAATTAATGATTTGAATAATAAATATATATAACTAGCAGAATCCGCGGCTTCACTCGCGTTAAAACTACAAAAAAATCTAAAAAGATAGGTTTAATACAAACTTTCAACTCCTATTTTACCCTCTTAGGGGTTGTATTTTTGAAAACGCTGAAATACGTAACTCATTATAATTATTTTTGCCGTATGTATTAACTTCATGCAAATACGTGTGCGAAATTCTCAATTTTCTAACCTTAAGGGTCTGTGCGTTGATACATCAGTCAATAACTTTTGCCTTTTATATATATATATATATATATATATAGATAAATGAAATACCTAAAAAGCTCGTCTCTTCAGGCCGTATCTGTCCCTTGTTGAGCGTCTTCCACTGCGCGTCGGTGCGGTACTTGATGGTGTAGTACTGCACGAGGTGCGCGCGCTCCAGCGGCGCCTGCCACGTGATGAGGAACCCGTTGTGCAGCTCCGTCACCGTCAGGTTGCGCGGCGGCCCCGACTTCGGACCTGGACGGAAAATTATAATGTAGGGACTCTATAATAATGTAATATTCACACGTTTGGCTCAGTTTGTAGTGACCCTGCTTGCTGCGCCAGCGGCCGCGGGTTCTAGTCCCGCTGAGAATATTCATTTATGTGATGAGCACGCATGTTTCTACTCCAGTCGCGGGTGTTTATATTTATAATATGTATGTTTATATATGTGTAGTGTATCAACTATCTGGTCCATAACACAAGCCTCGTAGCTCACCATGGAATTAGATGATGCTGTGTGTTAATGTCCCAACATATTATTATTATTATGTTCACGCTTTATTTAAAAATCAAACATTTGAACATTTTTTTTGAGAGGTTTATTTTGATTTTTGTTTCCTGATGTTTTGAATGATTAGAGATTACAATAATCATCGTCACGGCAAACTAAGGTTTATGGCGTCTCAAAAGTTACTATATTGTTATTACACGTCGGGAATCAAAAATCAAAATAGAAGTAAACCAAAAAAGGACTTTTATTTATATTAAAATAAAAAATATTAAATAGATTTTTTAGATTTTTACATTTAAATGAATGATCAGTAATGTTAATAAATTAGCCTACCACCGGCTCCAGTATACATTATGTTATGTACTCTAAATATATGTAGATAAAATTAATTTCCTGCCGTTATTCAGTTCGCATTGTTATTTGAACGTTGCTAAGCACAAGCTACCGTTATTTTTTGTTAATCGAACTGATTGTTGTCCTCCAGAACAATGCAACGGAACATATGAATTTTTTTTTGATATGCTAGGGTACTTAATACTTTATATTCCAGAGAAAAAAGGTACTAGGGGTACTGGATTTTAGAACTTTGGTTTACACGATTTTAATAGAATTTTTGATAACCCTTAGTAGATATTCTAATTGAAAGTCATATAAGCTTCTTCTAGCCAAATATAAAGAAAGGGTTCTGACGAAGTAGGCTATAAAACGTTTGTTAGTTTCAGCTTTTACGAAGTATAGTAGTGAAGCGAACCAATAATACCAAGTAAAAACCAAATAATCAGTACCAATGAACCAGTATAAGAGATTGAAGATTAAAGGATACCTTATACAAAGAGATCTCCGGAATGAGTATAATGTGGTTCTAATAATAGGTGCGTTTTAAATAGATATAAATAGTTATTAGCCAGCGTTAGCCATATAATTTTTAATTTTTTGTTCCGTTAATTTTTCTGATGTTTTAATACCTATTATCCTATTCCGGACTAAGAGAAATCCAAAACATCAAATATAATAAAATATCGTCCAGCCGTTCTTGAGTTATAAATAGTGTAACTAACACGATATTGTTTTTAGGTATCTTATAACTTTGAACGAGCAATTCTTGTCACTACATAGTATAAAACAAAGTCGCTTTCTTTGTCCCTATATCTCTATGTATGCTTAAATCTTTAAAACTACGCAACGGATTTTGATGCGGTTTTTTTTAATAGATAGAGTGATTGATTAATTTTGATTGTATAATTCATACTAACCGTTAAAACGTACCTAGGGACGAACCCGAGCGAAGCGAGGGTGAGTGGCTAGTATATAAATAAATATATAATCTGAATCTCGGAAACGGCTCCAACGATTTTCATGAAATTTAGTACACAGGGGGTTTCGGGGGTGATAAATCGATCTAGTTTAGTCTAATGTCTGAGAAAACGCCTGTTCTCGAGTTTTCATGCGGTTTTCTTTTGCATTATTCCACACAAAATATGGTCGGTAATTCGCACGCTAGAACATAAACATCGTATTCAAGCGGCCAAGGCGCAAGTTTGACAACCACAGGTGTCTGGGTTCGTATCCCGGTCGGATACAAAGTTTTTACTTTTGTTTGTTTTTTTAATGTTTTTTCGGCCAAAAACTCCGAGTGAAGCTCGGTGGCCCAGGTACTAAAGATAATTGAAGCAAGCGTCATATTCGGACGTTGTGTGCTATATTCAAATATACACGCGCACAATGTATACAGTTAAAAATATATTATAAAAATAGTTTTTTGTTTATCATTCAAGGAATTCAATTATTAGTAAACGCTTCAAATAGAAGTTAAGAATGTTATTGTGAATATAACAAAAATAAAGAAGACTTCATTCTTTTAAAAGTAGTATTTTAATACAGTTTATTTTCATTATTATTTTTTTATATAAAAAGTAGTTTGGCTCGTAAACTTGAAAAAGCGCGTGGATTACTCAAGTACCTGTTCTTTAGAGATTCAGAGAATTTATGTAAGTAGGTGTTATATATAATATAAATAAACGTGGTGTATACATATGTTAGTTATATAGTACTACGTAGTTATGTACCAGAGCCCTCAGGTGCGTTCTGAAATATCTTCTCATCGACGGGGCCGGGGGCAGTGGGAGCCGCCTTCGGTTTCGCTCCTACATCTACAAAAAGTTCATTATGGTTATGTGTTAGTATAGCTAGCCTACTACATTAATTTGTTAATATTTGTTAGTAACACTAATTGTTTAAGGAGATTTTAGTTTCCATTGTAATAATACTTACCCAAAGTTCTGATAGTAATTGCTTTGCTCATCATCCCTTCTCCAATAGTGTTTTTGCTGTTTACTTGAAACTCATACGTGGTCCCCGGTTGAAGCCGATTTATTGTAACCTAAACAATATTAAAAAAAATGTTTATTTATTTCCTTGACTTGATTTGATTTCTTCTACTTATACAAACTCGTTCAAGTATAACACTCCTGTAGATCCGTTACTATCGAGAGTATGCTTGAGAAGGCATCTATCACGAGTGTTCAATGGCTTAAATAATGAAAATACCCTGATCATGACCTCAGATAATCTTGAAGTAAAAAATAAAATTTAAGCTAAAAACCCCAAAACACCTTTTTGTGTGATTTAGTAAACTGAAAACCTTTACCTTTTGAATATACATATCACTGATATTATGGTAGTTACAGAATCGCATAGCAGATCCAAAGTATAAAAATCCATACAGTATGTAAGGTATAGAATTTAACTATCGGAAATCTTGTCAAATAAAAGGTGAACAAAAATATTGTCAATTATGGCGAACGGTTTTGAAAGCAAAGCGCAGTAGTGCCATCTACTTGCAAGTTAGAATTATAACCGGTAGCCGTATAGCCAATTTTTCGAATGTCCTATAAAAGTAACTATGACAGTCGGTTTCACCCTAGTCTCATTTTGCATGCCTACACAATCTCCATATCCAGAGAGAGGCCTTCAGTAGACAGTGAAGTGGACTGTGACAGATATTATTTAGGATATATGAATGATAAGCACACTCACAGAGGTAGCTCCAGATGGCGTGACAGGGACCTTCGTCCACTCAGAGTACCCAGCTTCCCTGTACCAGATGGTGTAATCCTGCTTGTAGTCGGGTCCGCCGGCGTACCCGGGCTGCCAACGCAGCGTCACCTGGAACTCGGTGGCCGTGCCGGACACGTTGTAAGGCGCGTGTGGTTGTGTTCCCTCGATAACGAGCTGCGTGTCAGCTACTATTGTAGCCACCTGTGCAGTGAAATATATGGCTGAGATACATCACTCATGTCTCTAAGCCAGCCATACTCAACCTTTTTTTTTATAGGGGCCACAAACACGTTTCAGTCATGGTGTCGAGGGCCGCAAGTAAAAATTATTTAGGTCTTAATTAAAACGTAATTCCAAGTTTGAGTATGTTGCAGTTGAAGGTCGCAGGTTGAGTATAGCTGCTCTAAACCTATTACAAAGCACGTTTATGCTCGCGGATCCGCTCACGTAGTAGGTAAATAAAATACTTTATTTCGGATATCCAATCCGTTGAGTCGTTTCAACATTAACAATTTCACACTCGTAAGTTATATTACTATTACTGTATTAACAAAATTTCAGTTTTTCTTGATTTTCCTGTGTATTTAAATAAACATATTATATTTATTTTGAAAATTATTTTAGTTACTTGCAACACAAAATTCATGACAATAGTGATCCTCCTTAGAAGCAGCAAAAGAGGAACACTAATGGGAGGGTAATCAATATATTAAAATGAACGTTTGATATCGAATCAGCGACTAACCTCATTAGACGCAACGCACTGGTAGATGCCGAAGTCCTGCCGCCGGAGCGTGTCGATGGTGACGTTGCCGCCGAGCGCGCGCACGCGGCTCTTCTGCAGCGGCAGGCCGTCGCGCCGCCGCCAGACCACGCTCGGCCGCTGCGTGCCCTCGGCTTCCTGCGCTTCGCAGTGCATCTCTACCGATTCTCCTACCTGTGTGAAATATGTTTAAATTTCGTATTCAGCCCTTTTTAACGTCCCATGACTGGGCACTGGCCTCCCATCAATACGAGGGCAGCAGGTCATAGTCCATTACGCTGGCTGAGTGCGGATTGGCGGACTTCATATGTCTTTGGAAAACTTTTTAGGTTCTCTCAGACATGCAGGTTTCCTGTCGATGTTTTTCTTTACCGTAAGATAATTAGTAGGTAATCATGTTGGAAAATGATTCGCACATGAAAATATCAGAAGTGCGAGACCCGGGATTTGAACCACTTCACTTGGTTTTCCAAGCGAGCACATTACCACTGAACTAGAACTGCATTTGAGTTTGCATGTTTAGTTTTGGCAATGTTTATTTGAAAATATGGGATCATCTTGATTATTCAAATAATGGTAATAAATTGAGATTATTAAAATAATTTGCTCGCTCGTAAACTATTTTTAAACATAATGTATATGCTCTATACATTTAGATACCCCACTTCATGATGTGGGTTTGGACAAAAAAAATGTTTTCAAGAAACAAATTGGCGCCGCAAAATTCACCATTTTAATTTTTAATAATATCCATGACATTCGCGTAACAAGACGTTTAGTAATTACGAGGGAACATAGGATCTGACGTACATAATACAAGTCAAACACAATGCCCCTTTGGGCGTCGCATTCGGGTAAAAATACACCTAGCGGAGTGAGGGTAAACGCTAGTTAAGTTATATGCTTATTCACTAAACATTCTTGTATATTTTTATTGTATTGTTCCTAATTCACTAAGATATTGAGTAACAAAGACACAATATAAAACCATACAACAAAACTGTGTACATTATCCTCCTTTCAAATTATGTATTAGCGTAAGGAACCACCTTTACAAAGAGATTAATAGAGTAGAATGTTTCTACTGATCTACATATATTTCAATCATATTTATTTTAAATTACATACAAAACAAACTTATAGAATAATGTTTATTACCTTTCTTTGATATAAAGGCTCTGGTTCTACTGTGAACACGGGTGGCTTACGAACCAATACTTCCATTGGACCTATAAAAAATTATAGCAATATGAGAATCAATTTATAATCTCTTTCCCCCGAGATAAATCCTAAACGCTGACCCAATTAAGAAATACTAAGTATATACGTCAAAGTTCATCAAGTAATTTTAAAACTACATAATTATGGTGTAATTTTTATGTCCCGTCCTTTTTTGGGATAAATAATGGTATGTGTGACTGGACCGTCAAATTCTGACAAACAGATATATAGTATAAAATTTGTATATATATTCGTATAACATATATGATAAATATTAAAACTATAAACTTTTTAAAATATGAGTATAAAGTTTAAATTATTATTATTAGTTCTTTTATTCAGGGATTTAGGTAAAGGCAAATAGGTCTGTAGGTAACCCAAAACATAAATTTTTAATGTTTATTGCGAAAATTAAAATTTGGTATTCTTAATAGATTATACACGTATAACGTGTACTTAGTTTTTTTAAATAATTTAAATTATATACAAATTCCTGAGATATAGAGAACTTAAAAACACTTAAATACTAATTGCATTGTTATGATTAATAAAACTGACGTAATACAACTGAATACTACTTAATCTTTTACAAATTAAACCTGGATACAACATTCTGGATGTAAGGTAATTATACCCTACTACCTATAATATACCCATTCGCTATTCTATCTGGAATTACCTGAAGAACCTTGCGTGCCTTGCGCATTGTACGGCGTGCAAGTATACCGTCCCTGGTGATTCTGATTGACGCGTGTAAACAGGAGCGAGCCATTGTTCATAATCACTATATCTTTCGTCTGATAAGGCTCTAACAGTCTTTTGTCCTTCGTCCAAGTTACGTACTGAAGAGGCGGGTTCGCTTTTATGTAACATTGTACTACGCCTGCCAAGCGGAAAGGGAGGTATTGTACGGTCGGCGTAAATGTCACTTTTGCTGGATCTGAAAAGTAATTTTTAATTCAACTACCACGACAGCCTAGTTTTTACACAGTTGTATATTATTCAATTTATAATCGTATATTTTATGATAAATCCCTTATAAACAAAACATTTTGCATAGAGAGTTAGGTACCTACTACTTGCTTATTATTTCATTTGAACATTATATTAGCTTAAAAGGTCATTTGATTGTATGCTATTTATGAAATTATAATCTGCTGTACCAAAACCTAACAAAGACTTACATTCAACATTAAGATAAGCGGAAGCGCTTTGTGGATCCCCAATGCCGTTGGACACTTCGCACAGATACTGCCCAGAATCGTCGGCAGCTACCGGATTTATAACTAGGGCACCATCTCTTCTTATTGTAACTCGTGTCTCCAAAGCCGCCACCTCCGCTACGGGGGCGCCCTCGCGGAACCATTTCACAGTAACATTACCCGGCAAAGCCTTCGCCTCGCATGAAAACTGTACTTTTTCCCCTTCCAATTTGGTCTGATTTGTTGGCGGCATCTGACAATTAAATAAATGCTAAACTAAATAAATCCTTATGTGAAATAATTTCCAACATACAAAAAACAAATAGTCTTGAAATATGCTGAATTAATGAATGAATAGTTTTGAATTGTTGTTCAATCGTTATTTATAATAGGTAAATATGGTGATTTCTTCACTTACAGTGATCACAGCTCCCCCGGCGATAATCACTCTGGCTGTGTGCGACACTTGCCCCTCTCCATTCCTCGCGATACATGTATAATCACCTATATCTTCGTGTCGGATATTACTTATTCGGAGTTCCGTGCCGTCGTTAAAGATCCCCACAGTACCCGAGGGTTCCACAGGGTTCGCGTCTTTGAACCACAATATTTCAGGTGTTGGTGTGCCCTCCGCTTGACAGTTAAGTATTATGGCATCACCTGGTATTAACACATGTTACTTGATTTACGACGTATATATGTACCTAATTGCTTGCAATATTATTAATAATTAATACATCATAAGGTGTAAATCAATAAAAATAATAAATGTTTAATATCTTAGATTCTTATTATGGGTAATCATTTCCATTTCTATATTACTATATTATAATATACTATTGCGCACCTAAATTGACGTATATAATGTCTTCCGGTGTGATGGAGAAGCGTGGTGGCGCATGTACGTCGAGGTGAAACCATGTCCCATTTTTGTGCTGATTCGGCGACCGGTTGAGAAACACAACCTTACACTCGTACCAACCCTTTTAAATAAGTTAACTCGATGTAATTTTATGCATTTATTGAAAAAATTAAGTAATTGAGGTCTGTAGCGACAATTAGTTATTTATTCTGGTTATAAATGAGTATTACCTGATCAGACTCTCTAATATTAGTGAGGTTGAGGCTGGCGGCGCCGTATGGCGAATCCGGAGCGACTCGCGACACACGGCCTTCATAACCCTCTCCACTGTGCGTCGGGTAACTCTCATACCAGATGTAGATTGGGATGTCCTGCCCCTATATCATTCGAATATATTAATTTTTGTCATTGATTTGGCGCGTAGCTCCAACGACTTCCTACCAACTTGCAGTTAACTAACTACTTCGATTGTCTCGACGCACATATACGTTCCCTATACTACTATATTGCTTCTGCGTAACATCAATTAACATACATTTAATTTAATCATATCTCGTAACAATCAAGTGTATAGTTGTCACAAGACAGTATCTAAACTACAAATAAATCAACTCTACAAAAGCATGCGATGATAAGAACGGAAATATACAGATGAACAGTTATATAGATACATATTATGTTGATCGCTTCTTATAAGGATTCGTCCGAAGAATCCTTGATTACAATTAGATTCAAAAATGTAACATTTCCTTTTTAATAAGTACCGACATGAATCAAGACAACATGCGTGCACAACTGAATAATAAAAAAATCAAAGACTACAGCATGCATTTAGTATTATACAGATTTTATTGTTAATGATTATATTATTTACGTTAAACTAATTTTGCGGAAAGAAAGTGGGCGAATCCCACTGCCACAGGAAGAGAGAAACAGACAGAACCGCCGCCAGTGCGCGTGGGAGTGCGCGTGCCCCGTGTCAGCCGTGTAAGCTACAACGTGCTTCCCATACTATCTTAGAGAGATAAATTGGTGCACCCAAAACAAAAGTTATTATAGCATAAATAAGTTTGTAATCGTATAGCATGTGGTAGTGTGTGTATGTTCGTTATCTAACGGGGGTCTGCTGCTCTCTCGGACTCGCTTTGAAGGCCTTTGTCACTGTGGTTAGTCGTCCGGTCGGTGGGCGACGAGTCAAGTAAGAGGCAATACGCTGAAGAGGCATTTACATAAAAGGCGTGCGCGGGGGTGTCGCGGGGCGGGGGCGGCGGGGCGGACCCCCGGCCCGCGGCGCCCGCGACGACTAGCACGGGACAATACGACGTGTCGAGTCGACACAAGCACGAGATATACTTTACATTCTGCGGGGCGCGTCGCGGGGACGAGCCGACCTTTACTGAACAGAAACACACACACGATAGATGAGCAGCGTTGTATTGTAAGAGTGGAGTGTTGGCCGTCGTACCGTTTCGCCTACCTTCTTCTCCCACTGCAAGACGTACGGCACAGGGATGTCCTCGGGGAAGTCCACCTGGCAATTGAACACAACGCTCTCTCCCAGGATTGCTGTGATGTGGACTGCATCTTGATGATCTTGGTGGCAAGTTACTGGAACAGATCATTTCATAAGTATTTCTTTTCAATCACGACTCAAAAAAAATAATATCCTTGTAAGTTTTTTTATGGTGCTCAGTGATAAACTAGCAGATAGCTCATCTGATGGAAAGCGGCACCTGTCTGTCACCCATAACACCTACGGCTCATACACTTAGGTTTTATGTAACAAAAATGCAGAACCGCAGGTGTGTTGTCACTGTGAGGACTAAGATGATATGCCTCTTGCCTGTAATTGTGCTGGCTACGTTATCCTTCAAACCTTTAGGTTAGGTTTAGGTTATGTTTACACAACAATGCAATCATTGTTATTTGGCGGGAGAATTGGATAAGGGGGTGGTATCCATCAAGTCGGACTCCTCAGGCTTGACAGAGTCCTATCATCTACCATGGTTTTTTATATGTTATTATTATTAATAGTGCACGTTTAAAAAGTGCAATATTAATAAAATATATAAAAAACCATGTCCTTAATCAAGTCGTTTTCCAATATTATATGTTAGAGCAGTACAAAATTTAAACGTAGGAATATAGAAATATAATACAATAAACAGTACATATAGCACATAAATCACAAGACAATAAACTTTTGTTGGAGCAGGATCACTATTCAGGATTTCAATAATAGGTATAGGTAATATAGAGCTTGAAATTTTTTTGCTAAATATAATTTGTATTTTTTTAAATAAAACGTTAACAAGGTCTAGCGCAATTGTTTAGGCTTCACAGTTTTGCACACTTGTGCATCGATCTATACATTTTTTTAATAAACAAAAAAATAATATTTTGAATACACAAAAACGTCGATGTATTTTATCATTATGCCTTGTTGGGTACTTGCGTGGTATATGATGCTTTAAATTTTAAAATGTACCGGAATGGCGTAAGTATGTATTTATTTATTAGAGATGTGCCGTCTAGTCGGCGAATAGTCGGCAAAAAGGGTCCACTAGTCGGCTTCTTACTTTGTACGTATTTTTTAATCAATCCATCAAAATATACTTTATAAAATTAGACTTTTACAAGCTCTTTTAAATCGTTATTTTTACATTATGAAAATAAATATTTTACAGTAAATATTTGTGTGTAAGTCCGTGAAGAAACTAATAAAATATATGTATTTACAGCCCTTTTTCATGTTAGAAATGATTCGCATATGAACATATCAGATGTGCGAGACAGAGATTGAACCCGCATTACTCGGTTATCCAAGCGAGCGTGTCACTGGGCTATCACTGTTGCTATATCTCAACACCTAATGTCAAACTTGTTGATGATGGTGTAATATTAAATGGCAAAGTGTTAAAACCTGTAGAGTCCACTAAATTCCTAGGTATTATCATAGATTCGAAATTGCAGTGGGGCCCCCATATTGAGGGGCTAGCGAGTAGACTCAGCTCTCCAGCGTTCGCAGTAAAAAAAAGACTTCTTACTGATGTAGATACAGCTCGCATAGTATATTTTAGTTATTTTCATAGTATTATGTCTTATGGTATCTTACTATGGGGAAACGCTGCTGTTATTAATACAATTTTTGTCCTGCAGAAAAGAGCTACTCGTGCAATTTATAGTTTAGGTTGTAGAGTGTCATTAAGAGATAAGTTTAAAGAAATAAAAATATTGACTGTTGCTTCTCAGTACGTGTACGAAAATTTTATATATGTCCGTAAAAATAAACACGAATTTTCTAAGAAGTGTGACATGCATAACATTAATACTAGGAGCAAACACAAACTTGTAGTGCCTGTGACTCGTCTACACAGAGTCAGTAATTCTTTTAATGGACACGATGGATGGTATACGCTTGTACAACAGGATCCCAGAAAATGTTCAAAAGGCTTCTATCGCCAAATTAAAAAAAAAATGTTAAAGAGCATTTGTGTGCTAAAGGCTATTATTATACAATAAATGATTTTATAGAAGATGGCACACCTTGGGAATGAAATAATCGCTCCAGGCTATTTCAACTTGATAGAAATATTGTAAATTATAATTTTACTTTAAAAAAAGATAACAAGTTAATATTAGTCCCGCTGAGTTTATTTAGTCAGTTCTTCTCAGGTCTGAAGTTTCTTCTTTCCGAACTGGTAGTGGACTCATGACGTTCAGTAAAAAATTGTAATAATTTAATGCTGAATAAAATATTTTGAATTTTGAATTGAAGTTGACGGAATAGGTACTGTTGAAGGAGTTCTTCTTGGATTTGCGACTGCGAGAAATCGTCTGTGGTTGAACATTTTATCGAAGAACTTAACTGAGGTATCAGGCTTGGATGTCAGTATTTAATATGGTTGTTCATACTTGTAGTATTAGCTGTATTCCCATGCCCGCCACGAGAAATTATCATTTGGCATTGGTTACACTTGACTTTGCGGGAATCATTGTCCAAGTGTTCAAAAAAAATCTATATACGAGACTTTCTTTTTGACATTATTAAATTTTAATTATTCTTTTACACTTTAATGAACAATAACACTATTAACTTTACAAAAAAAAAAATTTACACAAAAACACCGCTCTGACCCGCACAACAGCAAAATTCAAGAAACAATGCGAAGTAAACAAAACAGATTCTGACACGTTCGCGGGCGGCGGCTGCGACTTGAGCGCGAATGAGCGGTAAACGTAGCATCAGGGAAATCCCCCGAAACAATGATCGGTTTGGCCGACTAGTCGGCTAGTCGGCCTAAGTCGTAGTCGGCACATCTCTAGTATTTATAAATCTTAGTCTTATGTGAGCAGGAAGTATTTAAGTACAAAAACAGGTTAAAATTAAAAAATATGTAATTACTTATTATATCATATAATAATTAAATTAATCGGATCGGATAATGTATATAATCGGATCAAGTAAGACAAGTCTCTTTAGGTTTCTTAAACAACAGTAACAGACTTCTTCGTCATGTCCGTCAATACGTCCGTTTGTTTAGGTAGGTACATGAGATATTTTCGGTCATATGGTTTTTAGTTAGTCTAATTTGCATAGAATGAAAAAAGCAGCTACAGAACCTTGATATGACGAGAATTTTATAGTTATTAGACATGAGCCATATAAAATGGAGACGTACAAAAGTGCCCTAAGATACCCATTCAGAAAGTCATCAGTTAATTACAATTCACAAAATATAAGTATTTAAATGTCGATTGGGAATAAAGAAGACATAAGGCTTATTAATGGTAGCACTTTGACACAAAATACTAAAAACGAAAGTATTTGTTGTTCATTTTAGATAAACTTTATTCACAACTAGCGACTCACCGTCGCTTCGCATGAGTTTGTCCCTAGCTTGCTTACCCATACAAACTTTCATCCCCATTCCCATCCCCTCAAGGGATGATTCCGGGATAATAACTATTTCACTCACTTTTCATATCATGAGATTTAAAAAAAACTTATTTTTGTAAAAAAAAATAATCTTTTAATTTTCTTCTAAATATACAAAGCTTGTCCTAACAATAACAAACATAAAAAAAGAATCATCCAATTTGGTGCAGTCGATCAGAACTTATTCGCGTACATACCTTTCGGTGATACATTTTTATTTATATAGAGAAGAGATAAAGGATATTACAATTTACAGATATACCTATGTATCAATTGTATATACTCGTACAAAACAAATGTACACTTAATTATTACTGTACATATTATAGTAAGTATTATTTAAAATTTCGAAGAGGAATTCATACCCGGCAAGTTGACTAGCAGCAAAAGGAGCAGGCCGGCGGCGATGTGCGGCGGTTGCTCGGCGCGCCAGCCCATGCCTGCGCTCCCATGTCACGGCCGCGCGCGGCGACTCATTCTCGGTGCATCACCTAACAACAAATATTAATTTTACTGCCAAAACATTTGAAATATATTGGTAACTAGCTAACTGGACAGACGTCTATCCAAGTTACAATGAAGCTGTCGGGAGCAAACCAGCTGTTTGAGATATTCCATAATATAAAATGCAACAGAAGAAAAAACTGTCAGTTTTTCCCGAAATTCCCAATTTTATGGAATTTCACTTTTACAATTATTTACGTAAAAACAAAAAAAAATGTCATATCAGTCCATTTCTCGAGGGATGGCGTTTACAAATGAACTGCATTTCATTTTTATTTATATAGACAGCAGAAAAGCAAAAACAAATCTATTCCACGGGAACCGTTCATTTTTCTGAGATAAAAAGTAACCTGTTATTTGACCGGCAGTATAAGGTATCAGCATGCCAAATTTCCCTAAATTAAGTGCATAAGTTGTTGTGTACTAAGCTGTATAAGTTACTATAGTTTTTTAACTATCCCACGGGAACTCTTTAATTTTCCGGGATGAAAAGTATCTAAGATGTTAACCGGGGATATAAGATACCACCAGGCAACATTTTATTTAAATCTCTTAAACAGTTTCGGAGATAAGCTCGTGCAAACAGACAAACAGACAGAGAAACAAAAAAAATGAAATAAATATAGATTTGTTCTCTTTCTCTTCTTACACCCTCCTGACTCGGTTTTTAGCATTTTTATTCCATGTACACACATTACATACGGTAAGTATTATAATGAAAAATTAACGGTTGTAAGTTGTAACATCTATACGACTGTAATTAAACCAAATGTTTTACGAAATACATGTAGGTACAATGTCATAGTTATTTACTTTAAATACATAATTGTCTTAGGTACCTGCTATATTTTTGAAAACTTTAAATTCAATATGGATCGCTTATGGCTATTATCTTATGCTTATGGCCTTTATAAAAATATAATAATAATAATAATGAAAAATATATGGGCACTGCATAACATCCGGCGCTTGCTTTGCTAACAATCCAATTTAGAGCGGTTTTATTTTTAATCTGCGTTCCGTGTGCCAATAAATATTCTTCTATAAATATTTTCTGACGGTCGTTAGAAATACATATATAGTTTTAATAACATATTTTAAACGTTTTTAAGTTGCGAATTATTTATTTCGTAATAAAATCAAAATATGTGCTATAGCTTTATCAAATGATCATTAAAAAAACTAAATAGGTTTAAAATTAAATTATTATCGATCTCTATTCTCTACATGCGTCGGGCGCCACGCCACCTAGTAAACAAATAAGGCTCAAAATCAGGTCAGTTTTATTTGTAACTAGCCACCATGGCCTCTGCCAATTATTTTCATATCGACCAGAATACCATATTATTACGTACCTACTCAAGAATTTAAATTGACGAAATACGCAAAATATAAATATTTCCAATTCGTCTATGAAATTATTTATACAATTCGGAAATGAATTTAAAACTTTTAAGATGGCGCTCAATGGTACATCATTATTTTAAAAAGCCTAAATTTTCAAAACATTTCATTAAAATAAAATAAAAATATGTTTGTCCTTATATTTGGGAGCTATGGATATCACAGGGCAGATATATAGATAGATCTGAGTCTTAAACTTGTAGTTAAGCTACTTCTGCGTCAAATTGCGTCAAACAGGAATGTGTAGTATTGTCTATAATATTTTACGTTTACCGCTCTACGAAGAAACGAAAAGCAATTAAATATAAAAGAAAAACAAACAAATGACAAAATAAAACCTACTTTACTCAATGTAAAAAACTATGGTGAATTGCACCCCTACCCTGAGTACCTACGGGGTAAATGCATGCCCTAATGTTATACCTGAATACACACTCAAATCGTCCTTGGACTATATTCCACGGAGCTATAATTGCACAACATCACGATACTAGTAGAATTTCCCTATATAGTTTAACTCTTGCCCTCTATAAATGTTCGTGTTACGGTAATCAGCTTATCGATTTTGATATTACGTGGTTTTATAAGCTACTTTTGACTTGAGACGATAGAAGCTTTTATGAAAATCGACCTTCGACTTATACACCGCAGATTATTTTAGGTTAAATAACAAACGTTTTCTTCATCAAGATACGAGTTACAGCAGATGGCTCCGCTTGCGTGGATAAAAAGTAGCTTCTTATGTATTCACTGTTCACCATAAATAACTATCTAGCAGATATTCCGAGCTACCATTTATAATAGTTATTAGATTGACTAAAAGTTTTTTTGACTAATTTTAAAATATAAACGTTTATAATAATAATATTCTAGGTACTAAAAATTAAAATGAGTAAGGAAAAACTATTTTAATTTAACTTCGCAAGTCGAAACGTCGCGTCGCTACAACTTATTTTACTCAAACAACTGCATTTGTTCTTATACCTTTATTTGGACGACACAATTTATGAACAGGGTCATCTATCGGAAAAAAAAATATATTTTATTACAGAAGATGTATATGTGATAGCATTTTAAAATCTCGATGAAATCGACCATCTTTTGATCGAATTTGTCTGCTCGGCTTAGTGTATAATTTTTTAGTACGAGTAGTCAAAGTTAAGTGATAGAAAGTACATTTAACGATATTTACTTATTTTCCTTAAAAAAACATTGGTTTCGGATTTGTTTCATTTCCCAACAACTAGTTTGGCTTCTTGCGAGGCCGCAACAGCATTAAACCTACAAACAATTCAAAACTCTGTCACAATGCCGAAAAATTCCACTCCGGGTAGTATATTTTTCATTTTCCAATAAAATGGCTGGTACTCGAGTACTACTGCTACTGGGTGTAGAACGCTGTTTTTTTTTACTGGCCCGTCATAAAAGGACCTTTCTCCCCATGCCGGGTTATCGTTACGTTCTGGGACATTCTGTATAAGCCATTCGAGATATGCATGCTTCATAAATTATGTAATTATACATAATATGTACTTTTCTTTTAAATATTTTTAAGGTTTTATGCGAGTGACCATAAACCTGACTTAATCAATTCAATGGTAAAGGTCTCACTTTTAAAATTTTATTACATGATCAAAAATTCATACAGTACCACACGGATTATACATCGCATGTAGTATAATTAATCTATAAATTTTGATGGCTACCAAGAGCAAGGAGCACGAGGGTGGTCAGGTTCGGCGCTGCCGTGCGGTGGCGTGGTTTATTGATCTGTACCTTGTCCCAGAGTGGTCGCACGGTGCGGGCCGCGGCGGCTGGGCGGTGTTGGGTGCGGGGAGGTCTGTGCGCTGTCCTGTGCTGCGGGCAGGCTCCGTCATCTGTGGAGGGCGGTCATGGGCTCGAGGCGCAAGGCACGTGCGGCAGATCGCACGGCGGGCCGGGCACTGCCCGCCGCGGCCGGTATCGATCGCTGCGCGCGCAGGCCGCCGCCCTCTCACATGAATGGTCCCCGGAGCTGCTCACGTGCTCCCGCTGCCACTGCTCACTGCTGCCCTGCTTGAGTGCTATAAGCTTTTCTTGCTATATGCAAGTCTTGCTCGACTAGTTAGCTGACTATTGTTAAATTCACACACCTAACTCTAGTGTTCGCAGAGGGATATGCGTTACACATAGTTTTCAATATTCATGACACGGATTTCCTAATAAAATAAATGTATGTTATTGTTAAATAGAACATCACATTTTAATATTTAGATGCTATGCACATTTGCTTTAACATAAAAGTCTTTGCTATCTCTCTACTTTTGATGTCTTCAGAAAATCCGCATATAAACAGTTTGAATAAGTACTAAAATGTATAACATAAATAAAGATTACATAAATATTAAAATATATGATCAAATAATACTAAATTGATAATAATGAAGTAATGGAAATTTCTCGGGTTATACGTTGCTCTCCACTAGAAAAAAATCTCTGCACGTTTGAAGGTAGGCCATTATTTAATACCTACAGCTGCGCTTATTGTTTATTAGATGAACATGTTATCATAAATAATTATTCGTTTCGTGCGTCCGTGGATTGAAAGCACAGCACCTACATATATATATCAGGGGTACAGGGCAAGTCAATATGTGTTTTACTGCGGCATTTCACGTTCGACAGTCGTAGTTCACTATGAAAAGAAACAGTAATTTCTAACAAAAAAAATACATAATATACGTAATAACTAATAACAGACGCAATCGTCTGTCGACGTCTTTTCTTCTTTACGGATTTAAGACTTCATCTTCTTATCTTGTCATACTTTTAGACAATATAAATTTAACTGATGTAGTTTTGATGTAAGTGACCAAGATCATCGTATACCTATACTTTTTACTATCCTAATGACTTACTATGCATGCGCATAAAGTTAACGCGAGCGAGTAATCACATTTTGTCGAGAACTTTATTGAATGAAGAAGAAGTAGATATGTATGATATGATATAATTTGCTATGTAAAAACGTAATACAATTTAGTGGCTGTGGGTTTCCAATTTTTATGACACAGCACTTCACGGAATGGAAATCGTGAAAATTAACACGTTGGCATTCCGTAATCAAAATGATAGAATACTGGAAGATTTACATCATCACGTGATTTATATGCATGCCCGCATGAGAAGTCTACTTAAGAATAAAATTACATTAAACAAATCTAATCATTTTAATTCCTATACAGATTTTCTATATATCACAGATTTTCTAGATATCTTTTTTCGGGCTTACAAGGAACTATTGGCTTTCCTAGGAACACTACCGATATTTTAACTAAAATTGAAATAAAATTATATTATTTTTCTTTAGTACAATTGCAAATCCTTATATGTCAATTCAGATCAAAAAAAAAGAAAGTAATATTTTATTTACTTGAAAACTAAAGTTTTGCTGTGACCGCGTATTATAATTTTAACGTCGACGAAAGAAGTCAACAAAGTGAGGGATCGCATTGACAAACGTCTGCGTCTGAGTGCTTGAGTTCGATGGGTGCTAGTCTGAGTAAAAGGAATTTGTCATCGCATGGCAAAAACTACGACTTTTTAATATAAAATCAGCCTTACAAAGAGCATGGCCTTTCATGGTCCACCCACCTTATATTTTAACCGTGATCTAAATGGACGAGATAGTCTAATCAGATATAAATCTAGAACCGATGCTAGTCTATGCAATGGGATGCACAAGACGATAACATTTGCCTACATTTGACGACACGTTTGGCTCAGTTTGTAGTGATCCTACTTGCTGTGCCAGCGGTCGCGGGTGCGAGTCCCGCTGGGGGCATTCATTTGTGTGATGAGCACGAATGTTTGCACTCCAGTCATGGGTGTTTATATTTATAGTATGTATGTATTTAAAGTTATATATGTGTAGTATATCAACTATCTGGAATCCATAACACAAGCCTCGTAGCTTACCATCGAACTAGATGGCGTTGTGTGTTAATGTCCCCACATATTTACATATTTATACATCAACTAGTGATAGTGTACTCATAAGTCATATCTAAATAGTTTTCCTTTGCCATGCGTCGGCTGGCACGGACTCCTGAAATATGAGAGGCGGTAGGCCTATCTATCGTAAATGTAAATTCAGTTATTTCTCACAGTAGTGTCGTAAGGTCGATTTTCACATTTTTAATTTTTTGATTGTTAGACTTTTTAAAAACATTCTTTAAGCTTTAATTCTCATATTGTATTAACTGCAATAGAAAAAAATACAATAACGAACCACCAAATACGCAGCGTTCAAAAAATCTATAGATATTTTTTAAAATGAAAATGTAATGTTTACATATATATTTATGTTGTCAGTTATCAGTTACCAGAGTATTCAATAATGTTTAAAAACCTATAATATTCATAATATTTGCTTAGTAGAACAATGTACAATATACCTACTCAAAATTTTGCACATAAATAGACATAGAATTTTTTTTATTCTTTTATGTTGAAAATTTCTTAAAATATTGGAATAATTATGAGAAAATTGAAATCAATATCTCATATCTACGGCGGTAAATATTCGAGTCAAACAGCCTTTATTGAATTCTGATTCCCGCATATTTGATCACAAAGCGGCCATTCATCTTAAAATGATAAAACATATATGAGAAACAAAATATCCTCTTCGTGTTAAAACACTTAGTTTTTTTTTAATTTCTTGTATTCAGGTAATTATACTATACCAACCACCGCCCCCCCCCCCTCCCCCCTCCGTGCCCTTGTCGTGGTGGGCTCATTACCGTCCGGCAGTTCAGCTAGGCGCAAAGACAAGAAACGCACATGGAGGTGGCCCACTTCGGTGTGTACCACGCGGGTTGCTCCTGGTACTTCTCTGATAGCAGAGTGGATTATTGGAGCAGCCCCATGTTGTTGTGGTCTGTTTCGGCAGACCTGCCGTCGAGGCGTCGTGGTTGAGTGCGCAAACGATCCTGCGACGGAGGTTTTGTTGGGTTTTAGTGGGTAGTACTGACTTTTCTAGCCGGTGAGTCCCACATAACCACCCATATATCTATAGCTGGTATGCGTAAATGCATTTCCCAAGATTAAAAAAAATATATTATGACCTTTTATTGTGTTATAAAAACTATATATTAAGAAATAACAGTTCATCATTCAATTTGTTAGAGGCGCGTATAGTGGACTGCGGAACTACCGGCGTGGTCTCCGATTTAACTCACATCGCACGAGCCGTGCCGCCGCGATCAAATGTTTTTCATCGCATTGCTAGGATACTCGATTATAAGCTGAGAGGAACGATGGAATGCAATTCCGAATTCTTCTAAGCTCCAAGGAATGAAATGTCACTCTTTAAATGTGTTTTATTTCTTTATTGTCTAACACTTCAAATAAAGTTAAAATCGCATTTAATTTAAAAAAGTTTGTCTTTTTAATTTTTATACATGTTAAAATGTGTTTATTAATTTATATAATACTAGCTAGCTATAATAAACCGTTATTCCATGGTGTTTTTACATTCAAATGAAAGTAAACTTAAATATAGTCGATGATAATGTAATAACTCGAATTATTAATAATAATTATTAATTATATGTAGTGGAAAGTAGTAGAAGTGGTAAAACGTTAGTAATACAAGTATAAAAACTATTTAAATATTAAAAAGAAAACAAACTCAATTGAAAATAGTAGGTAGGTAACACAGACAATACAACCTAATGTCTGGGGTAGGTAAGGTAACACTAATCTAAAGATCTAACGAGCGAGTTAAGTCAAACGTTACATATTATGATCAAAGCGATTCTGCTTTGGTAGCATCTGCGAATACAGTAACTTTTGTCGAAAACGAAACACAAAGTGCTTTCATTAATTTTATAAAAGAGTTTTACATTCTAGTAATTTACAGATTCTAGTATTTCACAGGCTCGGCCTAGTACAGTCGGCAGTGACAAACCGATGTAAGTAGCATAAATTGTAATAAGCTTTATTTTGCGTTTAGTGTAAATTTAATGTCAAAACTTATTGCTAATAAACTTTTATTATTATTATTATTATTATAATTTAGTGTATCTTAATGTCGGCAAATGTTTGAACGAAAGTGTCGAATAGTCGTCTGCATGCAATACGATTTTATTACTTTATTTCTATTTCATATTTACACTAGCGACGCGCGTTAAGCCTAAATAAGCTACTCGTATAAATTTTATATATATATATATATATATATATATATATATATATATATATATATATATATATATATTATTTATCCCGAATGCAGGGCTGCTTTATGTACATATATTTCATTTTAAGTTATTACGTATTTTTATTGAATTTTTTTATTCATCACAGACTATTTCTCAACAGTTTTGTTAATTTGTATGATAAAATTTGATTTGGTTATAATTTGAGTGACCCAGCGGGATAAAATAAGTTTGCTCTACTGGCAGCAGTTGTCTCTACTGGCAGCCCTGCTAGAATGCCTTAGGTTCTTTTCTACGCATATTCTTGCCCGAACGCTCGATTGCAGGTCGTAGGTCCCATTAATATCCGACCATTTGGTATGTGCAAATAGACAAACAAAATATTTAATACTTATATATCATCTGAGTATCCATACTAATATTATAAATGTGAAAGTGTGTTTGTTTGTCTTTCTTTCACAGATTGACGTGATTTTTTGTGTGGAGATAATTGGAGCGCTGGAGAGTGATATAGGCTACTTTTTACCGCAGGAGATAATCTCATTCCCACGGGAAACCACGTTATAATACAACCTAAAAGACGTTTTTAATCCGGACACAGCTAAATATTTCAATTTTATATGTATTTCGAAGATTACATTCCCCTAGTTTCATTAAAATTAAAAAAAATTACAGAAATTAAAAATTAAAAACCAAGAAAAACTTAAAAAATGGGGGTTTTGCAAATATCTCTAAAACTTTTTTTGATTATAGAGGTTATTGTAAAAAGCATCATTTATAAAAGTTGTAGATTTT